TGAGATATATATATGCAACAGTTGCAACCATAAAAAGAACTGTGAGCTTGTTGAGTGAATGTACGAATTGTTAAGCATTTTGCTCAAAAATTATTTTAAAGAATTTCTATCAAGGTTTCCTTATGTGAACCATTTTTTTCCTTACTTCACTGAAACTAATTCGAATTGACTTTCAATTATCTTATCTTCAATAAATATCACTCCAATATAATTTCTATTAAAGCCATTTGTTAAATTTACCCTTCCTAATTTCATCAAATATCCATCTTAACATTGACATTTCTTATCACATTCAACTTAAATATCTAGAATTTTTTACAACACAATCTTTAAATTCATATAGCATCGCCAATATAATTATGATTTTATAAACTTTAAGTCACTGCCTGGTCTACGAGTTTGAAATTATCAAGGCGTCATCAGATGATCAAATCATGAAATTTCTCTTTCGTGTGGTTGATGTGTGTGTGTGTGTGTGTGTGTGTGTGTGAGAGAGAGAGAGAGAGAGAGAGAGGGAGAGAGACAAAATTTATTATCCTTCCTTACTGTTTTCAAACAGTTAAAACTTTAATGCATGAGCAATCGTGGGCATTTAGCAAAATAATCCAAGAAATTTACTAATAAAACTTTCAAATGACAGCTTCTACTTATTGGCACTTCTAATTGGTATTAAACTAAGTTACCATACAATTCATGTCCTTATTATTTCATATGGCACCCAAGATTTAATCCAACCAAACATTGTCAGTTAGATAAATTACAAACTTTTGAAGACAATAATGTCAAGGCAGTTAAACCAAATAAATCAGTAAACATTCAATACCCACAAGTACAAAGACATGAAACAGAATACAGAAGACAAATTAAGAATGAAAAAGGGTAAAAAAAAATTAAACCATAAATAAATGGCATCAAAACTATGATATGAACATCAATTACCTTGAAGGATAATATGACGCCAGGCTCAAGAACTACACCTGTCCTTAGATGAACACCGTCACAAACAACAGCATGGCTTAATTTACAACCATCTTCAATGATGACATTATCCCATATATAAGAACCTTCTATTACAACATTGTGCCCGATTGTGCAACCTTGACCGATCACTGAATTAGAGATAATAGTATCATCACCAACTGTGGCTGCATTACCAAGCACGGTAAAAGCATCAATGCGTGCAGAACGTGACTGGACAACCTCTGGAAAGATAAGTGGAATGTTAAAAATCATTAGCATGAACTAAGTACAAAATGCCGTAACTGATACAGACAATTTCACTGCAATAGGTTGTTCAAAAACTATCAAATTCAAATGCAATCAATTATCTGAAGAAACAATAAGCAAGTTATCGATTTAAATGTTGTAAGGTTTAAAGGACTCTCAATCCCATATTCCTAAATTAGACAAAAAATACAGATTTGCGGCAGATTTTGTGCATCATTGATTTTTTATTCCGATTTAAGAAGAAATATATTCTTCCATACAACAATTTGTTCTTCCATACAACAGGCAAAAGCTCCTGCTCTATGCATTTCTTTTCTTCATGGATTGTATATTACTTTTCCAAACATTGATAATTAATAATCAGCTCTACAACCATCATAAGTTTCAAGCGTAGCCAACTCAAAAAGTCATAGCAAAAAAATCAACTGTTAATAATTCAGTGTCAGTATCTCTAAGATATAGAATCCTCGACCAAACAAAATGAAGCCAATTTTCTTTCTTGATATTCCAACTTGCACGGGCAGTTAATACATAAAAGAAAACAAAAAAAATGTAGTCCTTTGATTTAATATTACAGAACAAAAAATCACTGCCTGGTCTACGAGTTTGAAATTATCAAGGCGTCATCAGATGATCAAATCATGAAATTTCTCTTTCGTGTGGTTGATGTGTGTGTGTGTGTGTGTGTGTGTGTGTGAGAGAGAGAGAGAGAGAGAGAGAGGGAGAGAGACAAAATTTATTATCCTTCCTTACTGTTTTCAAACAGTTAAAACTTTAATGCATGAGCAATCGTGGGCATTTAGCAAAATAATCCAAGAAATTTACTAATAAAACTTTCAAATGACAGCTTCTACTTATTGGCACTTCTAATTGGTATTAAACTAAGTTACCATACAATTCATGTCCTTATTATTTCATATGGCACCCAAGATTTAATCCAACCAAACATTGTCAGTTAGATAAATTACAAACTTTTGAAGACAATAATGTCAAGGCAGTTAAACCAAATAAATCAGTAAACATTCAATACCCACAAGTACAAAGACATGAAACAGAATACAGAAGACAAATTAAGAATGAAAAAGGGTAAAAAAAAATTAAACCATAAATAAATGGCATCAAAACTATGATATGAACATCAATTACCTTGAAGGATAATATGACGCCAGGCTCAAGAACTACACCTGTCCTTAGATGAACACCGTCACAAACAACAGCATGGCTTAATTTACAACCATCTTCAATGATGACATTATCCCATATATAAGAACCTTCTATTACAACATTGTGCCCGATTGTGCAACCTTGACCGATCACTGAATTAGAGATAATAGTATCATCACCAACTGTGGCTGCATTACCAAGCACGGTAAAAGCATCAATGCGTGCAGAACGTGACTGGACAACCTCTGGAAAGATAAGTGGAATGTTAAAAATCATTAGCATGAACTAAGTACAAAATGCCGTAACTGATACAGACAATTTCACTGCAATAGGTTGTTCAAAAACTATCAAATTCAAATGCAATCAATTATCTGAAGAAACAATAAGCAAGTTATCGATTTAAATGTTGTAAGGTTTAAAGGACTCTCAATCCCATATTCCTAAATTAGACAAAAAATACAGATTTGCGGCAGATTTTGTGCATCATTGATTTTTTATTCCGATTTAAGAAGAAATATATTCTTCCATACAACAATTTGTTCTTCCATACAACAGGCAAAAGCTCCTGCTCTATGCATTTCTTTTCTTCATGGATTGTATATTACTTTTCCAAACATTGATAATTAATAATCAGCTCTACAATCATCATAAGTTTCAACCGTAGCCAACTCAAAAAGTCATAGAAAAAAAATCAACTGTTAATAATTCAGTGTCAGTATCTCTAAGATATAGAATCCTCGATCAAACAAAATGAAGCCAATTTTCTTTCTTGATATTCCAACTTGCACGGGCAGTTAATACATAAAAGAAAACAAAAAAAATGTAGTCCTTTGATTTAATATTACAGAACAAAAAATTTTCCAACATATTAACAATATACAATTTCAGCATTTACTGCAGTTTCTCAGAAGGAATACTTTCATTAACATCTCATCACTTAAAGCATGCACAAAAATCAAACAAAGAGAGAAAGAAGAAATATGCTAAAAATATGCAACATGTCATATCTGGAACTGAGATTTCGATTTAGTGAGAATGTGATCGAGTACAAGATTTCAACCAGATCAAATCAATACATAAACCTCAGGTGGCTAAAAGAAATCAACTAAAATTCAAACTTCATAAAAAACATGAACTAGATCAGTTTCTAATTATGGCTAAAGATCTCAAAATTTTAAAATTTGAATAATTTTAAGAGATTTGTTTTCTATTGATAAGAATTGGTTTGAATTTGAATGATAGTTGGGATTGATATATTTAATATTTTTAAAAGTGCGCTTCAAGTGCAAAGCAAAGTGAAACCCGTGAAGCCAGCTTCGCTTTGTTTAAGCATGTTTTGAAGCGCTGAAGCAAAGTGGTAGGTTCAATTCATAATTTAGCGAGAAATTTAGCAAGAGGGAATAAAGGGCTATTGAATTAATTTAGCTTGTTTTATGAAAATTGAGACTTTATTGGTTTATGTATGCTTTAAAATTTAGAGTTTGTTTTCAGGTATAATATTTATTTTACAATTTTTAAGTTTTTAAGTACTAAAATAAATTATTAAAATTTATTAAAAATTTTAATTTGCAGCTTCACCCTCAATATTTTCCTTCAAGTTAGGTATTATATCAATTATTTTTTATCTTATATCAACTTTTAAGTTATTCTTTATATTTTATAAGCATTAATAAAGATATTTATTCATTAATAATTTTATATAACCTTTTAGCAATTTAGTTAATAAAAGTATTGCTTTGCTTTGCGCTATGCTTTGAAGAAAAAATAAAGCCTTGTGCATCGCATTGTGCTTTACACTCAGATAACAATAGATAGAACTACTTAAGCATTTTAATATTTGATATTACACTAGTAACACTATTTATATAGAGAGAGATTCATAATTAATATTTGAATTATTTATGATAAACAATTGAATGAATGAAATCATTTGAAGCAAAATGAGTGAAAACCTCTCATTTGAATGGACAGATGTGCAAAAAAACATTTCATTAATTTCATAAGTGGCACAGAATCAGGACCAATGTTTATTAACTGTGAAGGGGACTATGAAGATAAGTTTTACATTATCAGTGAAATTAAATAAATAATTGTGGGTGTATGTTCAAATAAAAGGGTTCAAGCAATCACTGATAAAACACCTGTGTTGAGAGCTGTCAGAGCATTGATTGAGGCTCGGTATCATCATATATTTGGACTTCTTGTATTGTTCATACATTAGACTTAATATTGAAGAATATATGCATTCCAAAGTGTATGGAATGAAATAAAAAATAATTATGAGCAATGTAGCTGGATAATTGATAATACACGAGCTGTCAAGTTTATAAAAACTTTCATTATGAATTATTTATTAAAATTGTCAATATTCAATAAGTTTGTAAAGCTGAAAATGTTGGCTATTACAGAGACCCATTTTGCATCAAATATAGTCATTCTTAAGAGATTCAAAGCAATAAAACAATAGCTGCAAACAATGGTGATCAGTGAGAGGTGATGAATGCATCATGAAGGTGATATAAACAAGAGAAAATTTGTTAAGAAAAAAAAACTTGAATGATGTGTGGTGGGATAAAATTAATATTTTATTACCTATACAGAACTTGAATATGATATGTTGAGACTGGCTAATGTAGATTAACCATGTATCTGCCTTTGTCTATGAAATGAGAGATTCTATGATAGGAAATGTGAAAATTCTATCAACACGAAGGAAAGAAAAACAAAGAAGAACATCTTTCGTAAAGTTGTATATGATATTCCAATAAAATAATGAAATAAAAGCAACACTCATCATCATTTTTAGCTCACTCTATCAATCCAATGTATGATTTGATTTAATATTTATCTTTTAAATCATAATTTAGATTAGTTTTTGTTAGAAATTATTTGGTTTCTTTCCGGTTATTTCCTAGTTTATGACTTTCCATTTATCATCAAGTAGTAATTAGGTAGAGATTTTAGTATTATATTTTTTTCTTATTTTAGAATCATTGTATCATGTATTTATACCTCTTTCAATACCAATAACATCATCCTGCTCAATTCCCAAAACCTAAATGGTATAAGAGCCGCTAATCATACCCTAATCATCAAGACATTACCCTAACCGTCAGAACTTCCCTGCAAACCTTCCTCCGCAGTTTTTCAGTCGTCCAATCCCTTCTTTGCAAGCTTTGACGCCGGCGACCTCTCCCTTGCTAACCCTCCCGCCGTCGAACCTCCCTCTTGTCAGCCAGATCTCCTTCTAGAACCGCTAGAACTCTCTTCTTCAGCCAAAACCCTCTCATGTAGACCCTCCCGCCGTCGGACCTCCCTCTTGTCGGATGCAAGCCCTATTTTATTGTCAGCTGCATAAGAGTCCGTCTACGTCTATGTCTCGGCACCCACACCTCATATTTGACTCCGTCAGTGTCATAGTGAATACACCCACTATCGAGCTTTCATTCTAGAATGCCCTTGAGTCTACAGAAGGATTGGCACCTACCTCAATTCCTCCGCAAACCGGAGAACATGACAAGCCCATGAATTTTCTGATCACCACTCACAAACTTAACGGTTCGAATTCCCACCAATTGTCTCAAGCCGTTTCGATGTTTGTCAAAGATTAGGGTAAATTTGGTCCCCTCACAAGTACAATTTGTAACCTCCAAAGACTGGCCTAGCATATGCAGCAGAAGAAGGGGAGAATTTCATGGTTATGTCATGGTTGATTAATTCCATGGAGACCTCGATTGACCTTTCATACCTGTTTCTTCCGTCTGCCAATACCCTTTGAACTGTCATTCGAGATACCTACTCAGACGTAAGGAACTATGAACAACTCTATAGAATTTCTAATAAGATCTGTAAGAGAAAACAGGGATCAAAGACAATCACAAAGTACTACAATGATTTGGTTGTCTTATGGATGGAATGTGGCCTCTATTATAACTACATGTGGGACTCGCCCGCAGATCTCTCTCTTCCAAAAAATTCCAGACAAGGATCTTGTATCTTGTGTACCAATTACTAGCAAGTCTGACCTCAATGAAGTATGTGGTCTTATACTTGATCGTGATCCTCTTCCTCCAACTTGGGTGTCATTCACTGATTTCCACCGCAAAGAAAGACGAAGACTTATCATGCTCGACAACTCCACTAATTCAGCTGAGTCTTCAACCTTGGTCTCCAACAGTGCCCACACTCTGTCACGTCGTTGTGCACCAATCACTCCACTTGTGATTTTTGTCACAAGCTCTACCATACCTATGATAAGTGTTGGAAGCTCCATGGGAAGCTGACAAATAACTCCTCAACCAAATCTTCCGCAGTTAAAGGTATTGCTACAACCTCAGAATCCATAAAGCGATAGATGGAGCACTTAGGGCCCATTTGGGACAGCTTTTTCGGAGCGTTGCGTTTTGAAAATGCGGGTTTGCCCGTTTGGAAATCGCAACGCAGCAACGTTCGTAAATAATTTATATTCAAATGCGGTAGCAGGCCGACCCTGCTGCCCGCGTTTCTTCACGTGAATTTACTTTGCGTTTCTTTTTCTCTCGACACTCCCTCCCTCGCATTTCTTCTGCCTTGGCTACCTCACTCGATCACTTAACACCGTTGTCGAGGTATCCCTCGTTTCTCTCGCGCCTCTCTCACACATTTTAAGCGGCTCTCTCCAGTAGCAACTTGCATTTCTCTTCTCTTTTTTCCCTCTGATCTCTGGTTTCTATGTACGGTATGTAAATAAAGCGCTCATTTTCGATGGAATGGTTTTCTCTTTGCAATTTGTGGCTTTCTAATTTGTTGTATGTAGGGTTTTGTGAGAATTTTATGGAATCGATATCATTTTCCAAGCGATTTGTGGCTTTCTCAAATGACTTTCTCATATTCCTCTCTGGTTAAAATTTTGACTTTCTCAAATGGCTTTCTCATTTTCCTCTCTTTGATATTTGCGGCTCTCTCAAATGGATTTCTCAAATGGCTTTCTTTGTGGGAATTTTGTCGATTTTGCAAGTTCTGCTATTTCTAAGGTTCTTTGTATGGTTCCGTGATTTGTTTGCATGTCCTATATTCAGATAGCACCGTTTTGGGCGCCCTATGTGTAGATAACAATATTTCGGGTGCCCTATATGTTACTAAATTGAAAAATGGATGAAAAAAGGATCTTGATTTGTAGACAGCACTGTTTAAGGTGCCCAAAGGAGCTTGATTTGTTGACAACACTGTTTCAGGTGCCCAGTTTGTAGATAGCAGTGTTTCGGGTGCCCATTATGTTACTGCATTGAAAAATGGATCAAAAAAGGAGCTTGATTTGTAGACAACGCTGTTTCAGTGCCTTGTATGCCACTACCTCAATTAAAAAAATATTGATTGATAGCACTGTTTCGGGTTTCATATAAGTAATTGCCTCATATGAAAGAGAGTGCTTGATTTGTAGATAGTAATGGTTCGGGTGATTGTATGTAATTGCCTCAAATGAAAAATATGGGATGGGGTTCTACCATTACCTTTGATATTTGTGTTAGAATTTGAAAAATGGATGAAAGTGGGTGATGATTTTGGATGTAGGTTATGAGGAGGTGGTCGTGTGTAGTGGGAGAAGGAGATGTGGAGGTGGTAGAGTGGTGTGGTGGGCTATTGATTTCGGTGGAGTGGTGTGGTATGCTAATGATGTTGGTGATTGGTGGCGTTGAGGAGGTTGGAGTGTGGTTTAGAGAAGGTGGTGTGGTGTGGATGAGTTGGTGTAACGGTGGTTGTTGTGTGGAGGTGTTGGCATCCGCGTGGAGGTGTCTGGAGGGATGTGGTTGGTCTGTGGTGGTGGTAGTGTCTTGATGTGTGTGGTCAGTGTGTGGCTAAGTGTTTGGTTGTGTAGACGTGTTGGTATCTATGTGGTTAGTGTGTGGTTGAGTTTGTGTAGAGTTGTTTATGAGTGGTGGTGGTAATGGTGGTGGTAGTGGTGTATGTGTTGGCGTATTGATGTGCTAGTGTGCGGAGGTCTTGGTGTGGAGGTGGTGTCTGTGTGTTGGTGTCAGTGTGGTGTCTGTGTGGTGGTGATGGTGTCTGTGTGGAGGTATTAGTGTGTGATTTTGGAGGTGGTGGTTAGTGTGTGGTTGTGTTTGTGTGGAGGTGTTGTTGTGTGGAGGTGGTCATGGTGGTGTGGTGTATGTGGTTTTGTCTCGATGTGCTGGTGTGTGGAGGTGTTGATGATGATATAGCGGCTATACTCGGCATACCAAAACCTCAATCCCACTGGTTTCACCAAAAATTAAACCAACATCACCTCCATCCACTCTTTGTGTCTGTACTCGACATACCAAACCCTCAGTTAAGACTCATTCCAAAGCCCCTAGAATCGAGCCCGTTGACCTGCTATATGTCTTGGAATTCGCTCCAGCCAACATGAAAGAAAGCAATGAGTTGCATGTGGATTTTCAACAACAAATTTTACTCCGATGGATCCTTTGAATGCAAAAAGATGTGGCTCGTCGCCAAAGGCTATTCACGGTAATAATCAGTCGACCGTGGAATAGCTCAAAGGCATCCTGGTCACATCTTTTGAAATGAATGACTTGGGTTCTCTCCAATATTTCATAGGTATGAAATTAGCAAGGTTCTCTTGGGGCTTAGCCTTTCTCAGCGCAAATATGTGACAGTTTTATTGACAGGGACAAAACTACTTCTTTGCAAATCGGTAGCCATTTTGATAGATCCTAATGAGAAATTTGTCAATGTTCCCAATGTCGTTCTAATGAACAAGGCACTACATCGCTTAATGGGAAAACTCATTTACCAAACCCATATGCACCCAGTCATTTGACACGTCATTGGTCTTGTAAGTTAGTTCATGTATGATTTTATACTTTCAAATTAGTGTATCATGTATTTTACCAGTGTCCATCGCATCCTCCAATACTTAAAAGGCACACCGGGCTCAGATTTGTTGTTCTCATGTCACAAATCTCGCTCTGTTGTCGTTTATACTGATATCGATTGAGTCGGGTCCGTCCATGATCAACAATCTACCTTGGGTTATAGCTCCTTCGTATGGGGCAAACTTGTCATATGAAATAATAAAAAACATTTTGTGGTTGTCCATAGCAATGCTGAAACCGAGTTCATTCTATGTCCCTAGCGGTATGTGATGCTCTCTGGTTGCACATCGTGCTCTGCGAGTTACGTATGTCGAACTTTCTTCCTCTACAGTTATTTTGTGATAATAAAGCATTTGTCAGCTTGTTATAATCCGGTCCAACATGATCGCACCAAGCATGTGAAGATTGACCTTCACTTTATCAAGAAGAAGTTTGATTCAGAGAAAATTTGTGTTTCTTTTATTCCATCTATAGGCTAGCTCGCGGATATTCTCAAAAAAAATCTTCCTCAGTAGTTATTTGACAATTTCAAGTCCAAGTTGACATGATTGACATTTATGTTTCAACTTGACGGGAATTGCTAGAAATTATTTAGTTTATTTTCCGATTATTTCCTATTTGTTGTATTTCCAAGTTTATGACTTTCCATTTATCACTGAGTAATTATTAGGTAGAGATTTGAGTATTATATCTTGCTTATTTTAAAATTATTGTATCATGTATTTATACCCCCATTTAATAACAATAATATAGTCCAACACAATTCCAAATAACTACAGTTTTGTTACTTATAAATGCATTTTTTATTAGATATTACAATTACATTTGGCTAAATGAAGCTCCAAATCCTATAGCTCCACATAAATATATGGAGAAATCAATTGAAAGAAATAAATACTTGAAGAAGATTTTCCTAAATATTAAGAAAGATCAATAGTTAACGTAGAGTTTGAAATTTTATTTGGATTTAGTGGTACTTTCGCTGATCATGACTTCATTGCTTCTAAAGACACTATGGAAGGAAAATCATGGTAAATTTATGAAGCAATTTCACCTTAACTATAAAGTTTAGTTCCAAATAATTGGCTCAATTGTGTTTATCTTCTTGTTATGAAATAATTAGAGTACATATTCTTTTAACACTTCACTTAAGAGGAACAAAATAGCTCCTCAACGAGTTGTTATTTGTTCATATGAATCTTTATCTTCTATCTAGGATCCCAGAATATTCTCAGTGGGGCACAAAATTATGGGATGTTGGGGCAGATGCCTTAGCTACAATGGATGATATTGGAATTTTTACCGCTATTAATCTTTCTTTTGATAAGCCATGCTTGGAAACGGTGGTTTTTTTATGAAGGTGAAGGCGTCATTGATGAGGCAATGGAACTAGAACTAACAATAACACCACTGTTGAATGAATTAACTCGAATTAGTAATGATTGTGTTGTTTCATTGTTTCAGTTTATTATGGATGACATTAGCATTAAATATTTGGTGGTTGTTTTATATTTTGAATGTAACTTTGATATTGCCAAAAATAACTTTTATAATTATAAAATTTTCTTAATAATTGCATATTTTGTTTTGTAATGCCCTTAGTAGAAAATATTAAAATATATATTATATTAATAATTTACTAAATATAAAAAAAAATGTGCCCATGTTGTATTATGTCCTAATTTTGTAATTATGTTGTGTCGCCGCATCGTATCGTGTTGTGTCCAAACTACATAGTTTCAATCATTTTTGGGGATAACACTTTTGTTTCCATGAATCTATCAAGTTAGTCATTTTCGTGTGCACATTGATGAAGTTGTTTTCTAGTACCTATTGAGATGGAGAGAAGATAAGTTGGCCAAGAGAACAATCAGTTGGCCAAGAGAACAATTAAAAAATCCAAATTTCTATTTCTCGCCTATTTTTATGAGACATTCACCTTGGTATTTCTAAATTTTTTCTTTGCAAAACAAAATCATTTTTTTCTGTCCACCATTCTGAAAAACATAAACAATGACATTGATCAATTGTAAAATCAATACTCATCTCCAAGAGCGAAGTTGCAGGCCCAAGCCAATACATAACGATAACTACCAGAGCAATCCACTAACAGAAGAAAGCCGGATTTCAGGACAGCAACAGAACAGAAAAACATGAGAACCCATCTATGTGCACAAAAAGAAATATCATGCTTCTCACTGCATTTCCAATTTTATTCCAAGTATTTTGAGCCATACCAGGTGCTTTATAGATTCCTTCTCTGTCTAACTTCATCTGCAAGCCATTTCCTAAATACTGAACGTCCGGAACAAAAGGATATGTCCACCTCTGAAGTATATCTTTGCTAATTGTATCGTAACTCCTAAAGTTGTCTACCCTTGCTGCATAGCTCGATTGAATCTCATGAGTAAAAATTTTGTATCCCATGATCTATTAAAAGAATCATTTATTAAGATTCAATGATCGTGTCTCATTATATAAATTGCAAAATTGGTTAACATGCACTACAAAAAATGATATTAGGGATAAAAATACAAATAAGCATCTCAAGTAGAAACTGCATCTTAACACAAATATAGACGGTTTGTCTTCACAATGAAAATTTGAGAAAGCATTTATTAAGATTCAATGAAATCAGGTCTATTCTATGTATGTTCTGTGAAAAATAATATTAGGGGATAAAACTACAAATAAGCATATCAAGTAGAACTGCATCTTAACACAAATATTGATGGTTTGTCCTGACAATGAAAATTTGAAAAAGCATTCTTGAAAATAAAAATAATAAACATTAAATAACATAATGAAAGGCGACCTGGTGAAGTAGCTTGAAGTGGAAAGACAAATAGGTCTTCAAGGGGTACTTCTCATAAGTAAATTTCTACTAATGATCCTGCTTTCATTTTCTTTCTTTAAAAGGATGGTTTTGTAATTAATAGAGTTAGGTGTTGAAAAGAGAGGAATCACATCCCTTAGAGAGAAAAGATTTCTCAGAGAGTTTATCTTCAAGAAATCTTCAAGCTGGGAAAGGATTTCTCTGCTTTTAGAGAAGTCGTGAAGGGGAAGCATTAGCAGTGAAGTCGAAGACTTTGCCACCATCAAAGGCAATCTTCTTTAACAGTCACCAGACATTTGCAACCAACATTTGTTAGTTGCTAGGCAGAACCGTAGGCCATAACAGGTTGTGGGTCTCTTCTTGTTGGTAGCCCCTTTTGAAGGTAAGTTTCCACAGTAAAAAATAGCAATTCTTGAAAACTTGGGAATCTTAAAAGGCCTGCATGGGGATCACCTTTGCCAAGCTAATAAATTGAGGATATCTACGAGGCAATCCAGATAAGGTGTCAGTAATTGTGGAAAATCAGGAAGTAACAGCTGTTTTCTTGGGTGGGTCGGCCTGCTACATAACTATCATGAAAGATTGAATTGGAAGATAGCATTGAAAATCCTTAATTAATTTTATTCTCTTCCTATTTATGTTTTTATTATTTTTATTTCAAATTTATTTCCTTTCCAAATTAAATTAGCCATATTTGGTATGTTTGTAAATATAGAGGGATTGGTTTCCCTTCA